GTTCTCTCCAAACTGCTTCCTGCTTTTTGTTGGGCAGAGTAATTTTGCAGGGGGAGGGGTGTTCACAATGACCTTTTGGGGCATCTTGGTCCATTAAACCACATTAGTCTACCTTCTTTCTCCCAGCATTCAGTTTAATCCCCCCCCCCCCCCCCGCGAGCTCTACTCTGCCCTATCACAGGCCAAGGCATTTTCTTTATTCATTAGCCAATAAAAGCAACACATATACAGAAGGCCCTCCCACACCATTCATCTCAAGGCAAGAAAAAAGGTGGGAGAACTTTTTAAACTATTTTTTATCCTCTAACAATTACACACATACACACACACACACACACACACACACGTCTTGACCATATCCACCCTTATACCCCATTCTCACTGGTCTTAACTTCTCCACATGCCCCTCCTGAGTGGGAAATTATGAACTCATTCCACACCAAGATGACTCTTATCCCAGAAAGGCAAAGTGATCTACAAATGAAAACAGAACTATGCAATCATTCCAGGGAATGGCAGTAGCTCATTCAATAAAATTTAGTGTGTATTTCTGCAAAGAAAGAGAGAACCTCCTTTTTAGACTGGTGAAAAGGAAAATTTAGTTAATATGATACTTATAGCAGACATGGTTCTTTTAAATTGAAAAAAAAAGATTTAATTTTAAGTGTGTGTGTGTTATGTTTTAAAAGTGACCAGGAGTTACAGGTAGAGCTGCCTGATGTAGGTGCTGGAAACTAAACTCAGGTGCAAGAACAGCAAGTGCTCTGACCTGATGAGCCATTTGGGCAGCTCCCAAGGGGCAGGGGGCTGCTAACAGAAACATTAGAAATACTCCCACGAAAAGCTGGAATAAATGTATGGAACATGTTCCTGACAGCCCTAACATACACTCTATTTTGAATTCTCCTCTGTGTCTCTCTGTCACAGCCCCTGTCTTACCTAGGAGCCACCCTCTTGTTTCTCAGCGTCACTTGCCTGAAGAGCTGTGCTGTCTTCCAGGTGTGTTTCAGGTGGTCTGATTTACAAAGTCAGGGGACTTTCCAGCTGACCCATCAGAACTGATGAGGGCACCCCCTCTGTTTCCTCTACCATCATCTCCTCTTGGTGGAGTGTTCCAGCTCCTCTCTATGTTACTTTTAAGAAACATCAATTTTTAAATTCTCCTTTACCCTGGAATCACCCCAATCTGTTCCTGTATTTTTCTGCTTCCCATTTGTAACTCTGGAAGCAGCAACCATCAATCAGTGGCCTAATCAGAAGGTCACTTTGACTATGTGAGGAATAGAAGACTTTAAGTGAATTTAAAAACAAGTGGAAGGTTTTGGTGGTGGCAACCAAGATCCACAATCTCTAGAGCCCATGTGCATGTCACCCAGGGGGCACAGCCTCTAACTCCAGGGCTCAAGAGTCTGAAGCTCCAGGGGTCCCAAAGTATGACAGACCTGCTCAGGTGACACGATGAGACCTCAGCTCAGCTAGCGATGGCGAAGGGCTGCTGAATAGCGAGTCCCCTCTGCTGGCCACATGGCAGGCGTGGAGGAGAGCATCCGCGCTGGTCAGGACGGAAGGGCCGTAGACCCCGTCCAGTGGGAATATAAGCTGGTGGAATACTCCGGAAGGCAAGTGGGTCTCCCACATCCCGAATCCACTCTTCACAAGCGCTGTGATAAAAGTATTTGTTTTTCAGGCCGACTTTCACTGTGGAGACCAGGTTGGTCTGGAACTTGCCATCTTCTGCTTCTTCCTTCTGCTAAGATGACAGTGCCATCACGCCTGGCATATCTGCTTTTATCGAAACTTAAGTTCTATCACTTATTTGTAATTCATTTTATGTATTTACTTATATGCATGTACAAGTATGTGTGTGTGTAAGGTATGTATGGTAGGTGCATGTGGCATGTGTGTGTATAGGTTAGTATAGTGTGTATGCACGCGTGTGCACAGGTTTGTATGGTGTGTGTATGTGTGTGTAGGAATGCATACACCACAGCACATATGGAGGTCAAGGACAACCTGGGGTGCTAGTGTACCTCTCCCCTTTGCTTGATGTGAGGAGGGGGGGGGTCTCTGTGTTGTTTATTGCTGAGTCCATACACCAGGATAGGGGCCTAAGAGCTTTCAGGGCTCTTTGGTCTCTGCTTCCCATCTGCCGCAAAAGCACTGTGATCACAGTACAGCTTTCCCACTCAGCCATCTCCTCAGCCTGCCACAGTGTTTTTTCTGAAACAGAATCTGTTTGTTTGTTTGTTTGTTTGTTTTATGATTTGGAATCCCGGGGAATCTTCCTGACTCTCCCTCCCCGGAGCTGGGATGATGAGCAGGTGCCCGAACACTTGGGTTTTTCCTTGAGTTCTGGAACCTGAACCTAGGTTCCCATGCTTGCAGGGTAAGTGCTTTTCTGAGTGACCCATCTTTCGGGCCTGTCATTGAGATAAAGGTCTTGATATGTTGTAAAGAGTGGTCTTGAATTACTGGAGTCAGATGCCTCAGTGTCCCAGGCTGCAGTGACTATAGATGAGTACCCCTGTGCCCAACCTCCCACAGACAAGTACTGAGAAAAAACTGCATGTCTCTGTGCCAGGCACTGGGCTAGTTAGTGAAGATTTTAGCATAAAAAACATTCTTTCCTCTGTCCTCAGCTGGTCGGTTTCTCCCCATGTGTCCTGAAGTTCAAAGCCAGCCTGGGTTTCAGAGCAAGAAAGACCTTGCCTGACCCCTCACACAGACTCTGCAGTACACACACATTCAGCAATGCAACTGATAATATATGCAACCTGAAGTTCAAAAGCATTGCGATATGTGCCTAGAACAAAAGCCCGGTTAGACTGAATAATCCATTTTTCTCATTCCAGAGAAGAGAAAATAATAGGGACAGAATCAGATCAGTGATTGCCTCTGGGAAATGGGTGCAGGTGGTGAGAAGTTTGAGGCAAGCAAGTACTTTTTGGAGACGAAAATAGTCTATATTTGATTGTTTGCATGGTGGTTACATACTGTTTGTCAAGACTCAGAATTGTACACCTCAAAAAAAAGTGGATATTCAACCATACATGCTGGCTTATGCTTGTAGTGTCAGCACTTGAGAGGGAGAGGCAGGAGCATTGCCAGAGCTCTAGGCTAATTTGAGCTATGGAGTGAGTTCCAGGCCAGCCTCAGATACAGCATAAGACCTTGTCTCAAAAAAAGCCTCCCCTCAAAAGAGTGGATATGTCTTTGCTTAGTTTATGCATTGACCATTTAACCCAGATTTCCAAAATCTGGACAGGAGAATGCCCTATAATACTAAGTGTTGTGTATACAGCTGGCCCTCCTCATCTAGGAGAATACCCTATAATACGAAGTGTTGTGTATACAGCTGGCCCTCCTCTTCCAGAATACCCTATGATATGAAGTGTTGTGTATACAGCTGGCCCTCCTCTTCCAGGAGAATACCCTATGATACGAAGTGTTGCGTATACAGCTGGCCCTCCTCTTCCAGGAGAATACCCTATGATACGAAGTGTTACGTATACAGCTGGCCCTCCTCTTCCAGAATACCCTATGATACGAAGTGTTGCGTATACAGCTGGCCCTCCTCTTCCAGAATACCCTATGATACGAAGTGTTGCGTATACAGCTGGCCCTCCTCTTCCAGGAGTCACACATCCACCTCTTACCCTGCATTGAAGGATGTGGTTGGGTGGAGGCTGGGGATTGCTTCTGCAGACTTTATTTCCTTGTCCTTAGTCCATGCAACACTATTATATTTACATAGCAGTAAAATTGCGTTGGGTACTGTAAATAACCTAAAGATGATTAAAGCCTACAGAATACACGCATACTATAGCACATTCCTTATAAGACTGGAACATCCCCCAGACACTGGAGTCTGTAAGCATCCTGGGAACAGTCCCCCCAGAATACAGAGGGGCCACGGTTTGGAGCTGTAGTATAGCACCTAATAATGGATTATCAACAGATAAATGCTATTTGGATTCTGTGCCACATTCGTATAGCAGGGAGAGTGATATTTCAGTAAACACAGTATCTTTATCTGTGTGCATCCTAAACTTTTTTAATTGCAGGAGTACTGAGCACTTCTAAAAAGTTCAGTGGCTGTTCTGTCTAAAGGAATAAGGCTCTACACTAGGAGAAAGACGAGGCAGGTCCAGGTTATTAACCCAGAAGCTCAGGGATAAGCCAGACATGGGGCGGGGGGCGGGGGGGGGGGAGTCCTGCACTAGATTCTAATCTTGAAGCCTTGGTCCAAGCCCGCGGGAGGTCACTGTGTCAATAACAGGTGTGATGGGGTTCGGAGAGAAGTTCTAAACGGATTGTTTGATCTTACTCAGACTTTTGTGGCTGAGGATGAGTCAACATTAACTTAATTAAAACTCCTGGAGAATAGCTGAGAATGGGAGGTGCGCCTGGGCTGCGGCCGAGACTCCAGGTCAGCGCTGGCTGCTCCCGCCCACATTCGCACTGCTCCATCCTCATTAGCCGCTGGCCCGTGAGCCCGGCACCCATTGGCTGTTCAAACAATGTGCTTCTCTCATAAGAGGCGGCTCCTCTGGTCTTCAAGCGACCCTCTGAACTCTGGTGCCTCTGAGGTGAGTGGAGTGATGGGCTGGCTCCTTCCTGGAAACCCGTTTCTGAGGTCTCCCGCTAGGGACAGGTCTAACCTCCAGTAGGAGCCGGGTGGAAGTCCTATCCCTGTGGGGTTCCCTCTTCTTTCCTTGTAGCTTCTTTGGGGGACAGCAGATCCTATTCTTTAGGATCTTCTATGTGCCAGAAGCAGACTCTTTCCCTTGTCGGATTTGGGCTTTACAGGGAACCCTGTGAGGTAAATACATATTGTATTTTATAAATAAGGATGGATCTGGGGGTTCCGAGTGGGAACCCAAGTCTGTGTGACTCCTTGCCAGCAGAAACAAACACATTAACCTTTCTTTTCCATTTAAGGGTAGCTCTCTTTTCTTTCTCTCTCTTTGAAGGGAGCTCCACCAAAGGGGAGTCTCAGATGCTAGGCCTCTCGGCACCATCCCTGCACGCTGTGCCCCGTCCCAGGTCACAGCTGTCAGAGGCATAGGTCCTTCCTTGAGACTCGGGACTTGTTTATAGTGCAGGTAAACTTAACCGTGATGAAATGTAACTGTCTGATTTTCAGAGGTGTGAAGTGAACCCCACTGATATGTGCCCTGGCCATCTTGGAGTGGAGGTGGAGGGGACAAGCCCCACATGTGCCTGTGGGATGAGTGTTCCAGGGTCACACACTTGGTCACTGGAGTTCACCTGTGCATGTGTTGTAGCTACTGCCCTAGATCACTGCAATCATCCGGAGGGAGGCAGCTCCGCCTTGCCTTTCTGGAGGGTTCTTTTATCTTCGGTGTGCTTGCTTAAGCCTATTTGTATTCCATCTCCACTTCTTTCCCAGTTCTCATCTGGAGAAGAAAATCAACATCCCTGGGGATTCTTTCCAAACCATGGAGCTTTCAATCTTAACTTCAAATTGCCCACACTTTCAAAATCCTCAGCTGTGCTTCCTAGATAAGTCATGTACTGCTGCTGAAGCTAAGGAAGCAAAAAGTTGGTGTGTGCACACCTTCACTATGCTCTGCTGAGGCCACTGGTCAGCTGGCCTCCTTCTTAGTAGGTTTTATTTCCGGTGCTGGGTCCTGTACACTGGGGCATCTTCATTCAGATGAGCAGGGTCCCTGTCGTTGAAACTGACTCCTTACCTTCCAGGGTGATCTTCTTCCCTTGAAGGTAAACCTCTCCCTTTGTGGGTGACCCTCAAAGGTCACCTGGCCGCAAAGGGGCTTGAAGGGGAGTAGAAGGCTAAACCTGAAAAGAAATACCAGAGAAAATGATAAGGTTCTGGCAAGGGCTTTGGGATTGCTGAATGGATGCCCTTAGCTAGGCAGATCAGCAGTGCTGTGGGAATGTGGCTGTCAGCACAGCCACCTGAATACACTAGGCCAGGCCTCAAGTGTCCAGGACAGCAGAGGGATGTATGCTGTCAAAGACCCAGTGTCAACATGTGTCCTCACCTCCTACAGCTGTGTGACCATAGCTATGTTAGTCTTTCAAAGTTCTAGTTGAGTTTACAAATAAAACAGAAGGCCTGGTCCCCACTTTGAAGGAGCTTTACTTCATTTTCGGGTACAAGACATATACATATGAAGTAGGTGGGGAAGCCACCCAAATTCTTATGGGAGACGAGGTAGACCTTCACAGAGGACTTAGTTTGCAGCTTGAAATAAGCAGGGGGACTGCCAGAGGCTGGAGGGTTTGATCAGTGCCCTCCGAGGCCAGAAAGAAGAAAATGGAAGGTTCTGACACCCATCAGGTGCCCTTGCCTTTCTGGGCACTCTGCTAGGGGGTGTCTCACTTTCTGGCCCCACTGCTCCCTCAAAAAGCCTGTCAGACCCATGGGTTTTGCAGGTGAAAAAAATGGGAGCAGGGAGGTGGAGGAAGTCACCGCTGCTGCCCTGCTGTTCAGCTCTGCGCTCAACCCTCATCTGAGCTTTCCCTCTCCAGACACACCATGATTGAAGACAAGGAGAACAAAGACCGTTCCTCGGAAAGGAGCAGAGTGACTCTCATTTTGTCCTTAAAGAATGAAGTCGGAGGACTCATAAAAGCACTGAAAATCTTCCAGGTATGGCTTTCCCGTAAAACCCATCTGAAAACCAGTCTCTGAAATACTATTGAGAGTGTAAGGTTCTCTCAGTCAGTTCTTCAGAGATGGCCTTCAGAAGTCTCTTTTAAAATTGATTTTTATTGAGCTCTACATTTTCCTCTGCTCCCCTCCCTGCCTCTCCCCTCCCCCCTCCAACCCTCTCCAAAGGTCCCCATGCTCCCAATTTACTCAGGAGATCTTGTATTTTTCTACTTTCTACTTCCCATGTATATTAGATCTATGTAAGTCTCTCTTAGTGTCCTCATTGTTATCTAAGTTCTCTGGGATTGTGATTTGTAAGCTGTTTTTCTTTGCTTTATGTTTAAAAACCACTTATGAATGAGTACATGTGATAATTGTCTTTCTGTGTCTGAGTTACCTCACTCAAAATAATGTTTTCTAGCTCCACCCATTTGCCTGCAAAATTCAAAATGTCATTATTTTTTCTGCTGTGTAGTACTCCTTTGTGTAAATGTACCACATTTTCCTTATCCATTCTTCAGTCGAGGGGCATTTAGGCTGTTTCCAGGTTCTGGCTATGACAAACAATGCTGCTATGAACATAGTTGAGCACATGTCCTGTGGCACGATTGAGCGTCCTTTGAATATATACACAAAAGTGGTATTACTGGGTCTTGAGGAAGGTTGTTTCCTAATTTTCTGAGAAATCGCCACACTGACATCCAAAGGGTTATACCAGCTTGCATTCCCACCAGCAAGGCAGAAGTGTTCCCTTTTCCCCACAACCTCTCCAGCATAAGTTGTCATCAGTGTTTTTGATCTTGGCCATTCTTACAGGTGTAAGATGGAATCTCAGAGTTGTTTTGATTTGCATTTCTCTGATGACTAAGGATGTTGAACATTTTCTCAAGAGTCTTTCAGCCATTTTAGATTCCTCTGTTGAGAGTTTTCTGTTTAGATCTGTACTCCATTTTTTTATTAACCACTTACTTTACCTAAGTGTTGTTCAGGGAGTGGAGACACAGCTCAACAGGTAAAATCACTTTCTGTTCTTGCGGAAGACACGGGTTCAGTTCCTAGCACCCACACCAGGCAGCTCACAGCTATCTCTAACTCTAGTTCCAGGGGATCTGATGTCCTCTTCTGGACACTGCACACCTCTGATGCACAGCACTCAGAGCAATATATAAAATAGATAAAATATTGTGCAGTTCTAAGAAATGGGTAAGAAATACAACAGCCTAGGAAAGAATAGACACAGATAGCTAAGAAGGAGATGGGGAAGGAGTCACTGCATAAATTTGAGAGATTTTCAACTAAATAAAATGTTTTACACCTAATGAAATGCCTAACCGTGTAATATTGATATTTTTAATGATATGCTAAATATTTTCAGGTGACAAGGTAGCAAGAATTCTGCAGCTATGTCATTTCCTACTTTCAGAGCCTTAGTATACATTGTCCTCAAATATGTGTTCAACGCAGCATAGGGAGACTGAGGGCTAATGTGCATTTAAGAGCCTTAAAATGTTCCTATTTAAAGTTTCCTTTTTATTTGCTGTGCATGTGTGTGTGTGTGTGTGTGTGTGTGGTATAGGTGTGTGTGGTGTATATACAGATGTGCAGAGGCCAGTGGAGGATGCCAGGTGTTGTTCTTTGTCATTCTCTGCCTTATTCCTTTGGGACAGGGTCTCTCATTGGGCCTGGATCTAGGCTGGCCGCCAACAAGCCCCAGAGATTCCCGTCTGAAACCCCACAGTGGGGGGATTGCTTCAAGCGGCTGCGCCAAGCTTTTTATGTGGGTATTGGGGATTCATACTCAGATCTTCATGCTTGTGCGGCAGACACTTTCACCCACCGAGCCATCCCCAGCCCCTCTCCCACAGTTCTCCTGATGAAATATGGGTGAATGAGGCAGAGCACACATGTTGATGGAACACTTACTGTGTGCAGAGTACTGGACTCTACGCTAAGTGTGTGGATCTGAAAAGAAACAGACATGCTGCCTTTCTGCACAGAGAGTATGATCTGGAAAAAGAGGCAGACATTAGGCACTTTAGTAAGTACAACACACACACATACATACATACACACATAAAGAGAGATACCAGATACAGTAACCTCATTGACACTGGAGACTCTAACACAGTTTAAGGACACAGGAACACAAAAATTGATTTGTCTCTCTTTTTTTTAAAAAAAAAAATTGATTTCTAACAAACTGTGTGAACAGGCTATGTTATGGTGCTTGCACACCACATGGCTGGGCAGGTTTTAGAACAGACTGCATGTATACAAAACCCTTATGAGCTGGGTGGTCATTGAAGTTAATCTCTCTGCATGTCTTGATAAAATAAGAGAGAACACTGCCTATCTCATGTCATTAAGATAGTTAAACTGTTCAAAGTAAACGGTCAATAAAAGTTGACTATCATTATAGAACAGGGTTGTCTCCATGACTATCAGTTAGCCATTCAAAGACTAAACATTTACATGTAGACACGGCTCTAGAGGAACATGAGAGAAGGATCCTGCCACACGGCAGAGCCTCAGCCACCTCTTCCACCTGTTGCTCTCTTCCTTCTTTAGTGATGAGCTTTGCTACTGTTCCCTCCTTGCACTGTGAATTAGCTTGTTCTCAATGTGAACAATGATACTGATACCATCTCCTTTTGTTCTTTTACCCCTTCCTCCCCAAATTTAATGCTATATTATTATTTTTAATTATTGACATACTAGGAGTTAAACTGAGGGCTTTGAGCATGCTGCGTGAGGGCTGTGTCTCTCAGGTGTATCCTCAGCTCTGTTTACTTATTATTTTGAGAGAAAGTCTAATTGATTTCTTATCATTCAGGCTACCCTCAAGCCCATGATCCCCCTGCCTCAGTCTTCCAAGTAGCTAGGATTGCACTGGCTTATATTGTTATTTGTGTTGCAATTACCTCTGGACCTCTAACGTATATACCTTTATTTCTTTTTCCATCACCTTTCATTTGTATTTATTGCTAGGGTTTCTGTACATGATTAAAAACTTGACATACTGCATTATAAAGAAAGTACCAGTCTTCTGCTCTGTAGTTTAGACTGGCCTGGAACTTCTTCAGCCTCCTGAGTGCTGTGAGCCACCACACCTGGCACATTCTTAAATGTTGCCCGATTTCTCAGAGAGCCTCGGGTGTAGAGCATGGCAGACGCTTTCTCCACGGAGTCTTCTCCCCAGCTCTGCATGGTTTCCTCACTTGGCCTACTCTCCCCTTTTGCCATCTTCATTTCCGTTCCCTCCTCAGGTGCACTGCCACTGCTTCTGCTCCCTTGGACTCATGCTTTTGTCTCTTCGATGGGTATCTGTGCATCTAAACCTGCTGCGTGTGTTTCCTTGTGCTCTCCAACTAGGCGCTAGATGGTGATTGGTCCCCATGTTTGGCTTTTGTGTCTGATGTGCTTTTTCCACAGATACTCAAATGCTGTCCCCTGAGGCTTGCACATGTGGTACTCAGATCTCAGACTGACAGGGAAAGGGATGGGAAGAAGCAGTCTGCTTCACCAGTTACCATGGCTGTCATATCATTTTGACATTTTGACATACATAAAATTTTCAAAAAAACCTCTGTTTTTTTAAAAGTAACGATAACATCACATTCTGAAAACTAATTTTATTGAGAGAATTTCTCCAAGATTCTTTCATCCAGGCAATCTGATGTTTGAATTTTTTTAAAAAAATTTTTATTTATTCTTAAATGTTTATTCTCTCTCTCTCTCTCTCTCTCTCTCTCTCTCTCTCTCTCTCTCTCGTGTGGGGCTGTGTGAATGTGGAGGTTGGTGTGAGGGGTCAGTTCTCTCCTTCCACTTTGTGGGGTCCTGGGTTTCAACTCAGGTCCTCAGGCTTGGTGGCAAACACGAGTCATTTTCTTGGCCCATGTTTTAACTTTTTTTGAGAAAGAGACTATGGGAGCTAGGAATTTAGTTTAGTGGTAGAATGTAAAATGTACAAGGTCCTGGGTTCAGTACTTAGCTCTGGCTGAACACACATATGCACAGGGACACACACACACACACACACAGAGAGAGAGAGAGAGAGAGAGAGAGAGAGAGAGAGAGAGAGAGAGAGACTATGTAGCCAGGGTAGCCTCAAAACCACTATGTAGTTGAAGAAGACCTTGAACTCAGGATTCTTCTGCTTCTTGAGTGTTGGAACTCTAGGCATGTGCCATCACAGCTCAGCACTTGGTGCTTAGATCTGAGTTCTAACCAACCCTGGCCATATGGAGGGCCTCCTGTTGTCACTTTACTGGCTTTTAAAGGGTATGATGAGTTTTCATACTTTCATTTAATCTTACATGTTGCAGCAGGGAATTATTTTCCATTAGTAGTACTAAACCTAACTTCATCCCCCATTTGGGCAAATTCTGACAAATGTTAAATTGTTTTTGTGCTAATGAAAGTATTCTCCTCAACGATCATTAGCAACCCAGGTGTGTCCAGTCAGTCTTTACCCTCTGCTTTACACAGGAGAAGCACGTGAACCTGTTACATATCGAGTCTCGGAAATCAAATCGAAGGAATTCAGAGTTGGAGATTTTTGTTGACTGCGACATCAGCAGAGAACAGCTGAATGACATCTTTCCCCTGCTGAAGTCCCACACCACTGTCCTCTCTGTGGATTCCCCAGATCAGCTCACTGGGAAGGAAGATGGTATGTTTGAGAGGGCAAAGCTCCACCTCCAAGAGCAAGCTCTCGATGTCTGTCCAGCCTCCTCTTCATCTTGAGGACAAGGAGACAAAGACAACTCTGTCTTTTTAAAGTCCTCATAGTACGGTAGTGAAGGAAACACAATGGCAACCGATCAGAATTCTAGGGGGAAATCATGAGGCAGCATTTTACAGAGGATGGAAGATAAAGGAACCTTGAACACGAGAAGGGTGGGCTAGAGGTTGATGCTCTCTCTTAGCTCCTCAAGCACTTCCAGATTCCACAACCCTGGTCTCCCCTCCCCTCACTCTTCATGGGTCTCTCAGGTGCCTTAATTGTCTTTAGTGCCAGACAATTAAGCGGCTATTTGAATTTGGGGGAATGTTGGCAATGTTTGACATCTGAGATCTGAAACTTACTATAGACCAGGTTCCCACCAAAACCTGCTCGGATGAGATCGAGCCTTCTGAGATTTCAGATGGAAAAGACAGAAGCGAAGGTCTTCATTTCTGACAAGAAATTGTTATAACTTAGTTAAAACAAGAGACAAATGGATTCATTTTGTTACTTTGGATTCGGTAGAGTCTCTTAAATTACATCACAATCTTTGGAGTGTGACCAGGGCTGCTGTTCATATGCCTTTATGTTCTTGTTGAACTGGATTCACCTCCATTTCTGGCTGGCAGGGAGCAACTTCCCTGAGTCCCTGAGCTCTCTTCTTAAACAGAAAGGACAAAGCACTGAAGAAGGGCTGACTTCCATGTTCCCCCTCCCACTGGCCATGCTTGCTTTGAGTAGGCTGCCTTGGCATCTGCAATCTGCTGACCTCACCTACACAGCAAGGAGTTTTCTAGAATGCTAGAATGTTCCTTTGATATTTAATGTACACCAACTCAGGACAGATCACACACACACAGTCCGACACACACACACACACACACACACACACACACACCAGGTAACTTACGACTCCAGTTCCAGAGGATCTAACACCTCTGGCCTTCTTAGCACCAAATACTCATATGTAGGCATGCATACATACACATATACTGAATTAAAAATAGTTAAATAAAAACTTTTCAAGACAGGTCTTCTTTGTGTAGCCCTGACTGTCCTGTAACTCTCTCTGTAGACCAGACTGGCCTCAAAGTCACAGAGATCTTTCTGCCTCTGGATCCAGAGCGCTCGGTTTAAAGGCATGCACCACCACCTCTGGCAATTTTTTTAAATCTAGAAATTAGATATTTGGACATGATACCCTACTTAAAACAAACACTGCTATTAAAAGCCTTTCCAGGACTTGCACGCTGGTCTGTAGAGTTGCATTATCCTAGCCTGCCTCCATAGGACGATTATGTATGTGAGTTTAAACATTTAAACATTTGGTTTGTTGCTTAAGAACAGTATTCTTCAGCACTTGGGAAATCAACCTGAAGATTAATTTTTTTAAGAAAGTAAAGCTAATGAGTTTAATTACAATATAATTCCTATGAATAGAGCAGTTCACTTGTTTAATTCATTTTTCATCAATATACAGGTCTCACCCAGCTGCACTTTCCTGAATGTCCCTTTGGTTAAACTTATCTCCTCAAACCTCAGTGGCTTTGGGATTTTATTTTGCAGCTTTGGAGACTGTTCCTTGGTTCCCAAAGAAGATTTCTGACCTGGACTTCTGTGCCAACAGAGTGTTGATGTATGGGTCCGAACTCGATGCAGACCACCCTGTAAGTTACCTTTTTAAAACACTTCGGTAAAAATACTTTAAGGCAAACTAAAAAATTAAGGACAATTTAAAAACTTTAAACATTGATTTATTTATTATAGTTGTGTGTGTGTGTTGGGGGGGGGTGTTCCTTGTATGTATGTATGTGCCTGAAAGCCAGAAGAGGACACTGAATCCTCTGGAACTTGAGTTATGCATGGTTGTGAGACATCATGTGTGTGCTGGGAACCAAACCCTGGATCCTCGAGAACAGTCAGTGCTCTCAAAGGCCAAGTCATCTCCCTAGGACTAGGGGTAACTACTATGTTTTTCAGACAAGTTAATAGCATATATTAACTATACAAAATACTGAGTTTCATTGTGGTATTTCATACATATATAAGATATTTTGACTATACTCACTTCAGTTGCCCTGTTCTGTTCCTTCCCCCAAATAACAAGGGCAACTTGATTGTGGGAAAATGCTTTTTCTGAACTAAATAGAATTTGTGGGATTGGGATTTCAGGGAGCAGGAGCAGCTCTCCCCAGAGGTAGCAGTGGGCCAGCAGACAGGAAAGTATCCAGTTCACTGGCTCCGAGATCTGCCCTGTTTCCAGCATTCGTTATAAAGCCATGCCCAGAGCCGTGCAGCTGAGTGTGTTTGTAGTCAGCTCCTGCTGAAACGGGCCTGGGTGTCTGACATGCGCTAAAGGGGGTCAGAAAAACCCCTACCACCATGCTGCCCAGTTTGACTGATTAGGCAGTTGGTGACCCGAGAAGTTGTTTCCTTGGAGAACTTCACAGCACAGCCACGAGCTCAAGAGCTGGAACCCAGAGCACTGGACTTGTGTTTGAATCTCTGGGTTCTAGGGAGGGAAGAAGAGAGAATGCAATTGTGGAGTGTCACAGATCTGGCCTGCACATTAGCGCCTCCTGCTTTCTAAGCTGCGTGAATGTGGCCATGTAGCATCACTTTAGATAGCCTCCAGAGGACCCATCTGGTTGCCAGACAATCTTACCAAGTAGCTATTTGCAGTGAAGTGGGCTGCTCACCCTCAGGAAGCTTGCAGCCTAGTTGAGGACGAGCATGTCTTAACATATTGCAAGATAAAATGTACAAAATGTGCCAGAGGACATTAGCAAGTCGAACATACACTAGAGAGCATATGCTTCTGGCTGAAGGCATCAGAGAAAGGTGACATTTCCACTGGATCCCAAAAGATTTCAGCAGGTGAGAGATGGAAAGAAAAGACAGTGGGCTGGGGGCAGGGCACAATGTGAGCAAAGGTTCTGAGATGAGAACCCCCGGGGCGTGTTAATAGAAAGGCGAGTACCAGTTTTACGCGCTGTCTACTGCTAAGGATGTTCGCCTCCTTCATACTTCTAAATTTGTTTCTAATTTATCATGATTGCCACATCTTTCAGTAGTTTCCCTGCCTCCAGCCTTGCCACCCTCACACACATGCTTGAAATCATTAGACTGGAAGTCTCACTATGACCATTTTCTCTCCTCTTCCACACATCAACAGTGGTTGGTCCATACAGCATGGTAGGCACAGTCCAGTGTCCATCAAACTGATGGGCAGACAGACAGCGAGCGGTAGGCAGAGCTGGGCGTGGACTATTACTGGCTGTTCAAAGGCACAACAGATGGGAACTTGGGGAATCTGAGGCAGGAGGAGTAGCACTAGTTTTAGGTCAGCCTGGGAAACATAGTAAGAATATGTCTCACAAAACAAAATGAAACAGGCATGGAATACCATGCGACAACATGGGTGAGCCTTGAGCGAAGCCAGCTACAAGAGGCCTCATGTTTATGGTTCCATTTACCTGCAGTGTCTAGAAGAGACTAGATTCCTGGCTGGCAGAGGATGGGTTTGGGAGGGGATGAGGAAGAGATAGCTAGTATGATGTTTCTTTTGGGGGTGACACAATTTTTCTGAAGTCGCTATAGTCTATGACCATACCACCCTGAATTCACGCATGAAATTAGAGGGTAAGGACAGACACAGTGACAGATGCCTGCTGGTCAGTTACTTCCAAGCCTGAGAATTACAAGTTTCAAGGTTAGCCTGGGCAACACGGTGAGATGTTGTCTAAAAATAAAAAAAAAAAAAACAAGCAAAAAATATGATCATGGCTTTTAGTTTCTATGAATGGCTGTCGCATGGCATATGAGCTGTATCTCAGCATGAGAACACCAACATAGCTCTGAGGTCAGATCTAAATCCCTGAACAGCCCTGTAATCTGCAGGCCCTGAACTAGTCGTCAACATGATCCATGCACCATACAAGTTCCAGAAGCAGGGCGTGGCTTGCGTTTTTTGTATCCTGAGCATGTTTTCCTTCTCTGGCAAGTTCTTGTGACCCCTCTGTCCTCCACCTTGCTCTCTCCACATGATGGACACAGCTTGGGGGGTCACTGCTGGGAAGTTTAGTTCAGTTAAGTCACTATTTTATGTATTCATTTTGATTTTAGTATTATTTACAGAGTTTTAGGCAGACTCTCTATTGCCAAATTACACCTCAGTCTTTTTATTGCCAATTCTGACCATAGGTAAACATAACTGAAAGTACAGTCAAGTGATTAGGAGAACAAAGTAAGAGAAGAGCTATGTACCTAACTAGGATGGCATTCTGTAGTTGGCCTTCATCTTTGTACTCACTGTGGCATCTTTGTATAAAAAGTATTATTTCTCTTTGTATCCATGAGATGATAAACTGTCACGGAACTACTGACATCAAAATTAAAATGCTCACGCATCTCTAAGCATTGTTTGCGTGTGGTAACAATTGTGTTGTTCTTTGATATCTCCAGTCAAAACAATAAATTGCTTCCTAAATGTCATTTTCAAGTGTTTTTGGTTTCAATACTTAATTACTTTTAATTATCAGGGCTTCAAAGACAATGTCTACCGTAGAAGACGAAAGTATTTTGCAGAGTTGGCTATGAACTACAAACAGTAAGTATATTACAAGCCAACATATCTAACTTTGAGATAACAAAATAATGGAATAAGGTGTGTTTGCATAGTAAGTAGAAAGTCAAGTAAGTGTAACCACCTAACTACAATGCAGAATTCCCTCATCTTGATCTCATTAGCGGGGACCCAATTCCCAAGATTGAATTCACAGAAGAAGAGATTAAGACCTGGGGAACCATCTTCCGAGAGCTGAACAAACTCTACCCGACCCACGCCTGCAGGGAGTTCCTCAGAAACCTTCCTCTGCTCTCGAAATGCTGTGGCTATCGGGAAGACAACATCCCACAACTGGAGGATGTCTCCAACTTTCTAAAAGGTAGTGGCCAACAGATCTGTGTAAGAGGGTGTTATCTGCATCAGCAGGAACAGTGTTGTCTATGAGGAGTGAATGCTAGTTACGTGGAAGGGCCAGAGTCTTCTAAACTCATCCTGGAGGACTGTATACTTTAGGGGGTAATTTGGACATGTAGGGATGTTTACTAAATGTTTAAACATTGACAAATTAGAACCTGTTTCATATAATAGAGAGATTACTACATATATATATATATATATATATATATATAACTATATACTATATTACTCCTTTTTAAATAAAAAGAAGACCTTATTTAGAAGAGTCATGTGAAAACAGCCTTGCAAAGTTAGATCTCATCAATGAGAATGTCTGTACCAGACCTCTGCACCTGCCTTCAGGGTTGTGTAGAGGAGACAAGGGCATCTGTGAACTCTCTGACGCTGGGTGGTCTCTGACGCTGGGTGGTCTCTGACGCTGGGTGGTCTCTGATACTGGGTGGTCTCTGATGCTGGGCGGTCTCTCTCTGATGCTGGGTGGTCTCTGATACTGGGTGGTCTCTCTCTGATACTGGGTGGTCTCTGACACTAGGTGGTCTCTGATACTGGGTGGTCTCTGACACTGGGTGGTCTCTAACTCTGGGTGGTCTCTGATGCTGGGTGGTTTCTGATACTGAGTGGTCTCTGATGCTGGGTAGTCTCTGATACTGGGTGGTCTCTGATGCTGGGTGGTCTCTGATACTGGGTGGTCTCTGATGCTGGGTGGTCTCTGATACTGGGTGGTCTCTGATGCTGGGTGGTCTATGATACTGGGTGGTCTTTGATGCTGAGTGGTCTATGATACTGGGTAGTCTCTGATGCTGAGTGGTCTATGATACTGGATGGTCTCTGATGCTGGGTGGTCTCTGATGCTGGGTGGTCTTAGTTGGGAACTCAGTACAGGGTCTGTGGGATGCTAGGCAAGAGCTCATCTCTGAGCTGCACCCCTCAGCCCAGAAGTTATGTTTTTGGTTCATATTGTTAATATTTTTTTCCCTGGCATAAAGTGTTGTCTGAGTTTCTTACACAGTTACTGAGTTAACAAACACCTTCCCATTTATTCAACCCCTTAATTCTCCTTATTTAAAAATGATGCATAAAAGCCTAAAGGAACTGAGCAGGGAAACACAGAATGTTTCATGAGGACAGGGATAATGCATGTGTTTCTGATGAAAAGCTAAGGTTTGAAACATGGTATAGAAGCACTGCAGGGGTCCTTGCTGGATTCACACAGGCGTCATTCACTCAGGCTTGCAGGAAGCATTTTGTAGATATGAAACTGAGAGCTGCTCCCTTGGGGTCTGGAGAGGGGCTGGCCGCAGAGCCGTTTACTGTTTCAAAACTTCCACAATAACTGCCCCAGGCAAATTTCTACTGTCAGTGTGTAAGAGTTAAACTACCCTGCACATTTGAAGGAGGACACCAAGTGTAATCTAAGGCCTACTGAATTCGTGTTTCACCTTTATCATCTCCTGTGCTCTTTGAGCACATTATTAAGTGTTTTATACCTTTTACAGCAAAGAGAAAAATCCTTTTGTAAGCGTGCAAGAAGGTGTGATATGTAAAAGGATCACTGCCTGTTCGTGGGATATGCTTAATAATGCTTAGCTTACTATAGTACACACAGGCTACGTTTTAGTTTCCACACCCCCTTGGAAGTGCTACCTGGTGCCACTGGCCAATGTCAGTGGTCTGTGGCTGAGGTAAATGTTTTCTGTTTTCTCCTTTGTTCTGCAGAATGTACAGGGTTTTCCATCCGCCCTGTGGCTGGTTACCTCTCACCGAGAGACTTCCTGTCAGGGTTAGCCTTTCGAGTCTTTCACTGCACTCAGTATGTGAGACACAGTTCAGATCCCCTCTATACTCCAGAGCCGTAAGTACTCAAGTCACTCATTCATCAAGTAGTTTATAGTAATGGTGCCCACTTCACAAAGCATCTTGTAAGTGTTCAGTGAAGCAACATATGTCAAGCCTTTAGGATAGTGACTGGCATTAAAGCATACTCTGTAACAACCAGTTATTAGTAATATTAATAATTATTATTATGTTAATTGTCAAATCGTTAGATACCAGGTACAGTTCTATGCACAAAAGGTGTAAAAATCAGATAAAATTTTTGTCTTCATAAAGTTTTATTTTGGGGAATGTACAAATGATAAATAAGTAAATGTAGTATGTTTCATGTCAGATGATGGTGTGTGCCATGGGGGAAAAATAAAACTAGGAAAGAAAGGATACAGACATGTATATGGGAGTTGCTTTGGGAAGTGTGATCAGATAGGGCCTTTATTGAGGAAGCGTGGCACTAGAGAATAGATTTAAGTGGGGGACTTGAGATGTCAGCGGAAGCATGTTGAGAAGACAAGATTTGGAACCAATGGCATTTCTGTATTCAGTAAATATCCCTTATGATCTATCACTCTTGATCAACTAGAGTAAGAGCAAAGTTGACTTTGGGTTGGATTCAACAGTAGTTTATGCATTTGTGCCAAGCACCACAGCGTGACAGATTGTGTCTCCGTTTCAGAGATACCTGCCATGAACTCTTAGGTCATGTTCCTCTCTTGGCTGAACCCAGTTTTGCTCAATTCTCCCAAGAAATTGGCCTGGCTTCGCTTGGAGCTTCAGAGGAAACTGTTCAAAAACTGGCAACGGTATATATCTGGAAAATGCTGTGTAGTTCAGTATTCTCCACTGGGTGTAGTTGGCAGTATTTGGGTAATTTCAAATGTTCAAGGTAGCCATTAGAAAATTTGTTTTAAATTTTTTGCTTTAAATGCTTATAATTTAAATAAGTTAAATGAAGTTATAAAAATTTCTCCAAAAGAAACACAACATTAAAACAAGACAGAAAAGTACAAGATTGATTTAATATACTAATTTTTAGATAAAAAAAATGAGTGATGGGGCTGGAGAGATGGCTCAGAGGTTAAGAGCACTGCCTGCTCTTCCAGAGGTCCTGAGTTCAATTCCCAGCAACCACATGGTGGCTCACAACCATCTGTAATGAGATCTGGTGCCCTCTTCTGGCCTTCAGGCATACACACAGACAGAATATTGTATACATAATAAATAAATAAATATTTAAAAAAAATGAGTGATGTCTTATGAACCAGAGAAGGAAGGAAGGACATTTTAGGATGAGGCTTAAGACAGATGAATATAGGCTTGGCACCACTGGGAGATACCTGAAAGTGGAGAAGGGTTGAAAATAGACTCACTGGTTATAAATTTGTGGTTTAGGGATGTTGGGCGTCCCTGAGACCTTTTGTGGAGTCCTTGAGGACAAAATTATTCATAAGTAAAAGACACATAGTGTATTTTTAATGTGACAGACAGGGCTCAGATACCACATTGAGTCTGAACTTTAAGTGACTACCATATGCTGAGTGAGGTAGTTAAAGAATATGCACATTTCTTTGAAGAGGGGAGCCAAATGCCTGCCCTTTTCTAACTGCATAACTGCATAAAGCTGTTCATATACTTGAACCAAATACAGAAGCAGATATGGCAATCCATCTGCCTCCCCATCAGACATTAAATACTGTCTAGCCAGACACGGACAAGACGTGAACAGATGGGTTTAGCTAACTCAGTCCCTCCACACTATGAATCCATAGGATTGTAATTGTCAAGAATTAAAACTAGGGTCAGTGAGATGCTCAGTGCCCCCAAACCTGATGACCTGAGTTTCATCCCATGGTGGAAGGAAGGAACTTGCCCCACAAGTGTCCTCTGACCTTTCACAGGCATGTGTGTGCGTGTATGAATGTGTACATACACACACATGCAAATAAATGTAAAAGAAATTAAATTAAAGTTAAAAAGATATTGGCTACATAGTTGGGAGCATTCTTCCTACTACTCCAGCTCCAGGGGATCCCATGCCCTTTTCTGGCCTTTGTAGGTGCCCATACACATACACATAGGTAAAAATAATCAAAATGAATTTAAAAGATGAATAACAATTATAAAAAATGCTAGTCTTTTGTTACTTTTTGTTTTGTAAAATATACTTTCGTTAAGTGTTACTTATGTAGCCACACAGTGGGTTTACCACATTTAAAACAGATTTTTTAAGCACCTTAATTATTTCTTAAACTTTAATATGGTCAGTAAAACTAGGGGTAACACATACACACAGAGAGATCTTTGAACTCCTCAGTAATTTTCAACCCTGTATTAGAGTCTTTACCCCAAGTTTAGAAAGTCCTGGTGCACAACAGGGCCAGATTGTGGAAACACTTGGGGCCTAGGCTGAAAGTCCTGGGCTTGATTCTGGGTGTCCTTTGGGCCGGTGACTAAGAACTGGAATTTCTTTAGAGTGAAATGTTCAGGGTGTGAGTGTGACGTTGGCATCCTTTTGCAGTGCTACTTTTTCACTGTGGAGTTTGGTCTGTGCAAACAAGATGGACAGCTGAGAGTCTTTGGCGCCGGCTTGCTTTCTTCCATCAGCGAGCTCAAAGTAAGAGACATAGGTCTTTGCACATAACTGTGTCCACCAATACATTCAACATGTCTAGAGGCAGAGCTTACATCTGACAAGCCTTTAATATGGCAAATTTCTAGAAAAAAAATGTGTCTTTTAAGTAGGAAGTGTTTTAAAGCTTTAAACAAATTTCTGGGATGCAAGCAGTAAATTCTGAACCAAGTAGGGAAGTGAGACCTGGTTGCCTAAGAGAGCAATGAGAGAGCTCTGGATAGTGAGCCTTGGGACAAGCGCTGTCCAAGGTACTGTGCTAAAGGAGGCTGCTCCGTGTTGATGGGTAGAAGTGTGACCAGTGGAGGTAGACAGTAGGTGTCATAATGCATATGTAAATAAATGAATAAATAAAGATACTTGGGTTCCTCCTATGTGGTGAAGAAAGTTAAAAATAAAACCCTTGAGATGGTTTTGAGTCATTTGTGGGGGACAGCAAGCGTCTTTTGGGTTAGACTGGATGAAGCAGCAATGTAGTGAGTCAGTCTGGGGTTGCAGACAGGTCCCTTGCATAACTCAGATCAGAGGTGTGTCAGTTGCTGCAGTCCTGAATTCTGTGGAGATAGAGGCAGTATTTGATCACCATGCTTTGTCCCCCAGCATGCGCTTTCTGGATGTGCCAAAGTTAAGCCCTTTGATCCCAAGGTTGCTTGCAAGCAAGAGTGTCTCATCACAACCTTCCAGGATGTCTACTTTGTATCTGAGAGCTTTGAAGACGCAAAGGAGAAGATGAGGTAAAATCTATCCCCCTCAAGCTTCCATTTGCTGCAAAAATAATGTCCAAAGATACAATAATCACAGGTATAAGCAAGTAGGTAATTGGATGCCCACCAGGAGCTTTCTACCTAAGACATATCTGCTTAGAATAGGTTGAATATCATATATTAAGTAGTTGCATATGGGAATGGGATACATTGAGAGACTGGCTCCTCCCCATTCCTTCCCAGCAGAATTTATAGTTCAGCATGGACAAGTAACTATAGACACAATACTGAGAAATAGGGAAGTGTTGAGAATAGAGACAGAGAGGAAACACTCTTGCCTCCACTGGTCTCCTCTCCAGCTGGAGAAGCACAGCAATCTTGGAGGCAAGTGAGACAGACGGAAGACTAGCTAGAACTGAGACATGTCAGGTTTTAGGCTGAAATGGCATGGAGAAAGAAATGGTGATAGAAATGCATGGGGCTATTTCATTGCAGTCAGATCTCCTTCCTCATCATCAGGAAAGCATGCTGTCATGTGGGGAGAGCTGGAACACAGCCACTTCAGATGCTTTTGAACTCCAGACGAAAGTAAAATCTGGACTAAGATAGAGGCAGTGGGGAGGAAGTGGCTGTGGAAGCAGGATCCAGAAAATAGCATGCAATTGAGGAAGTCAGGAAGCCACACTGTGAGGACAGGGGATTGCAGGGCTGAAGACCACGCTTATCTTCCAGGAGCTTGCTATGCACAAAATCAAATAACAATAGCGGCTGTGCTTTCTCTAGCACAGATGGCAAAGCTTCAGTGGTCCCCACTGAGGAGACCAGATGGATGGGAGCCTGGATTCTAGTACCCAAGCATGTACACTTGGTCCAAGCTGTGCAGTTATCCTTTGGGGTTTTGAGCATGATTGTTCTGTAGAGTACCAAGGAAGAGGTTCGAATGTTGAGTTGATAAAGGAGATAGATTTTAAACCATGAGGAAAGGGTGGGGGGATTAAAGTCACTTGAAAGAAAGCTAGAAACCTAAGCTGAAAAAAAAAATCACACAAGTATGGGAAGTTAGGTCTCTCTCTCCCTCCTCCCCATCCTGTCCCCTCTTTTTATTATGTAAAGCATAGCTGAGGAGTGTCTTACTTTGTGGCTCAGTATTGCAATTATCTTCTAATATACTGGCAGATAAAGCTACTGTGGGTGATGCCCTTAGTGAAGTCAAGAGGTCAAGAGATGGGCTATAGACCACTTCCGTGACATGAGACATGGGATTAGTGCTCAGTATGGGAGAATGGAGAGGGGGAAGAGGGAGAGGGAGAAGGAGAGATTGAGCTTTCCCTCCAAGGCCACAGGTGTTGAGGTCCCTGATGTCAAGACAGAGAAAGCAGGTGTGTGTGTGTGTGTGTGTGTGGTGTGTGTGTGTGTGTGACCAGGTCTTCTGTCCTCTGTTAGGGTTTTGTCACTCACACTCATAGAAATTAACACTCCTTTACTTGTTGTCTTAAATAGAGAATTTACCAAAACCATGAAGCGCCCATTTGGAGTGAAGTACAATCCGTATACTCAGAGTGTTCAGGTTCTGAGAGACACCAAGAGCATAACCAGCGCTGTGAATGAGTTGCAGTATGACCTCGATGTTATCAGTGATGCCCTTGCTCGGGTCAGCAGGCGGCCCAGTGTGTGATCGTCTCCAGTCCGAATCCAGAAAGTCAGTGAGCTTCAGTTCAGAGCCAGGGCCATCTCTTGCTTCCCCCGAAGACCTGCTTGAGGAGGACAACAGCTCCCAGCTTAACAAAATTTCTCAACTCTCTCTCTAATAAATCACCCACTGTCTCTGAAAATGCACACCTGGATGCTTTAGCCACTGCTGACAACTTTCTTCTTCTTCTTCTTCTTCTTCTTCTTCTTCTTCTTCTTCTTCTTCTTCTTCTTCTTCCTCCTCCTCCTCCTCCTCCTCCTCCTCCTCCTCCTCCTCCTCCTCCTCCTCCTTTTTTGGTACCTGCTTAGGGAAATATAATTCACATATCATGTGCTTCACCAAAATGCCCATTTAAAATATTTTATTTCATTAAAATATAGTTAAATCATCTTCCCCTTCCCTTTCTTTCCTCCAACTTCATCCCCCAGTATCACGGCCTTTTTACTGAATACCCACTTTTGATGGGGCAAGTTGTTTGACACTGGTCAGAGTTGGTCTTACCTTGATGCTGTTTCCACCAGTTCGTCATCAGCAAATGGTCACTTTGAATGCCCTGACGAATGTATCTGTAGCTGTTACTTGTCACCAACCTTGTCACAGCTCAGGCACATTCACAGACTAGATTTATAGGAGACCAGCTGTTCTCACTGCCTGCATGGACAGACGTGCAGAGGGCTTAGCCCTCGAGCATGACTAGCAAAGAGCAAGTTGGCTTCAAGTGCAGTGTCAGACAAGGATATAGAAGTCACCAAGACTCAGCCAGGCATGGCAGTGCCTGCACTTCCAGGTCTCCCTGGCGCCTTATTTCAAGGTGTCACAGTAGAACATAAGAACATGAGAAGGCAGTGAGGTAGGAAACGAGGAAAGAAACAGAGAAGGGCCAGGGAGAGCAGTCTGGTCTGAGAGTGTGATTTGTGGGGACTGTGAGGGTGGAAAGTAGTGATGTATGTCAGACATGGAGCATGAGCAGAAGCGGCTGTCTGAACTCTTCACTACTGTAACAGAGTGCAGAGGCAACCGACGTATAGAGAGGAAAAGTTTAGCTTTGCTCATAGGTTTGGATGCTTTGGTCCATTAGAAGTTGTTCCTGTGTTCTAAGTCTGTGATGAACCAAGGCGTTGTGGCAGAGCAAAGCTATAAACTTCAAAAAGGATGGAAAAAGGAAAGAGGGAAGACTTGAGATGAGGAAGAAGGTAGAAAGAGAGAGGGATAAGGAGAGAGAGAGACAGAGAGAGCCTCTAGTACAATTTAGGAGTTCAATACTACCAGGGTAGGACAGTGGCTCAACAATAAAGAACACTAGCCACTCTTCTAGAGGGCCTGGGCTTGATTCCCAGCACTCACATGGTGGCACACGACCATCTGTAACTCCAGTTTCAGGGGATCCAATGTCTTCTTCTGGCCTCCATGAATAGCAGGCAGGCATGCAAATGGTGCACAGACACACATGCAAGCAGAACGTCCATACACATAAAATAAAGAAATTAAAAACCTCTATTTTTCACACTAAGAGTGAAATCAAATACCATTGAACATGCTTTATTTCAAGCCCACCAGATTGCTTACACTAGATTTTTTTTTTTTACATCCTTTTAAGACATCAGAGGAAATTGTTAACAGCTGCACTGTTGTCAGTCTTTCTTCCCGGACTTCCTTTGGGACCACCAGCCCCCCAAATAATGACAAGAAGACTTATTATTAATTATGAAAACTTGGCCTTTGGTTTAGGCTTGTTCCCAACTAGCTCTTATAACTTAAACACCCATATCCATTAATCTACACTCTGTCTCATGACTTTTTACCTCTCCTCCATTCTGTTCATACAAGTTGCTCCATATATTGGTGGCATCTTCTGTCTGTCTAGATGCATCCCCCTGAGTTCCTCTCTCCGCCTGGAAGTCCCACCTAACCTCTCCTGCTTAGCTATTGGCTGTTCAGGTTTTTATTAAAATGGTTCACAACAACACATCATCACACAGTGTACAAATGTCCCACAATGCTGTATTCCATCCCATGCTCTGCGAGGAAGCAGACTGAGGAAGGGTGACTCAGCCGTCTCAGCTCTTTATAAACGGTCGCTTTCACAGCTACTGAGCATCCATACGATGATGACATGTGAGCGTGTCTGAAATCATTTGACGTACAGACCAGCTAGTCTGTTTAGTCACCAGGAAAAGCACTCTAAAGAAATCATAACAGACAGCATAGAGACCCCATCTGCTGTGTCTGGTTATTTTCACAAGACTTTGATGACGCTGGAGAATCACAGCTAGTGGGTTTTTAAATGACGGTGCTTAATATTTGCTCTGACTAATGCACTTTAAAATAATTAGTAGCTTCAAGATAGTGGAAATATTTAGTGGCGGCCTTGACTTTGTCTAACCTCTGGATCATGATATTTGGCAAATCAGGGATCCAAGAGTTTTTAGAGTTTTCAAAATACCTAAAAAATTTTAAATAATTATCCAAACACCAGGACCGAATGAAATCAAAAGCATGGCTTGCAGTTCTTCACCGGAGACTCATTCCTGACCACAGTAGCGTGTCTGACTTCAAAGAAAAGAGAAATACGAATCATCAGAATGCCTGTGTTCCTTAACTTCATGCTTTGGCATTTGGAGTTACATAAGGAGCAAGGTACAGTAAAATGTGTGGACTCATTGATAATTTGTAAGTCGGCTTCCAGAGAAAGAAAAAAGCCAGGACTTTGCAGAAGCAATAAATAGCAGAGACCACATGTTAATATGTCTATAAAGTGGATAAAGATAATTGTGATCCATTTCACTCTTGTCTTCATCACACTGTGGAATGTACATTTATAATTTAAAAGTTTGCTATTCTACTGTACAATAAACTCAAAGTTCATGTTCTTAAAAAGTGTTCTTTTAAGTACATTTTATTATTTTATTTTGTGTGTATGTATGTGGGCCCCAGGAATCAAACTCCAGTTTTCAGGCTTGGCCACAAGCAGCTTTAACTGCTGAGCCATTTGCCCCTCAACAACTGTTTTCTTTTTTGTCAATCATACATTAAAAACAGATTCAATTTTATATTCACAATCATTTAGTTTAGAGACCCCAGCAGTGGTGATGGTTGGTACAAAGAATCAGCCATGGGGGAGGCAATGAATTAGAACAGAGAATGAAAATGCCACAGTGGAACTCATTGCTTTGTATACCAACTCCAAACATTTTTGAAGAAAGTGCAAAATATAAAATAAAGACCTGGAGAAAATTACCTCACACGAGGCTTTGTAAGAAGCCGATTTATGGTTCCGAAGAGATGGCTTCTCATCAGTTAAGAGCACTCCCTTCTCTTACAGAGTACCTGAGAGTGTTCTCACCACCAACATCTACCAGCCCACAGCTGCCTGTAACTCCAGCTCCAGGGGCTCTAATGCCCTCTTCTGGTCGTCACATTGTTTTCTTCATGTAAAGAATCATTAGCGATAACTGTTTTGAGCAGGATTCCCTCACATCTTCTGGATGATTCTGCCTTCCTCCAGAGAGAATAACTGCTATTTCTAGCAGCCAGTGTATTTATTATGGCATGGGACGATCTTGGTCCACTTAGGGATGGAGCCAATGAGAAGCTGAGCTTCAGCTTGGTGAGGCTGGTCTACCCTCAGGTCACCCCTGCTCCCAGTCTGTAGTGAAGCACAACTAATTAAAACTCAGAGACAGATACTGGGGTTCAACCTGAAGGTCAGAAAAGCAAAACATGCAGTCACTGGCTCTTACCTCTGCCTCAGTTCAAAATGGCGATCCTGCCTCCAAAAATCTCAGAATAAGACTGAGACTGAGAGCTGTCTCCTCCTGTTTTATAATCCTCTCTAGTTCTGGGGTTAAAGGCATGCACCACTACTGCCCAGTTTCTATGGCAAGTGTGGCTACTGGGATTACAGGTGTGTGTTATTGCTGCCTGATCTGTAAAGCTGATCAGTGTGGCTGTTTTATTTCTCTTATCCTCAGGTAAGTTTTATTTAATAAAATACAAACGAAATGCCACTACAGTGTAGCCCTTTAGGGGTCCCACTAAGTGTACATCAGGGGACCTGGCTCCCTCATTGCTCTCCCCACTGCCTCCCCAGTACTATAAAATCATGGCTCAGTTTCTCTCACCTCAGATTCTCAGCCTCCAAGCCATTGCTTGCTTGCTCCAAGGAAAAGGGGAGTGCCAGTAGAACCTTGGATTCCTGTCTGGGCCTCTTGCATTTCCGTTGCTCTGGAAGCTCTCTGATGACTTGAAGCATATTTTTAAAACAAAAACAAACAAACAAAAACAAAATACACTTTTGGACAGCTTTTCTAGTTGAGGGAACTGGTCAGCAGCAGCTTGGCAACCTTTCTGTGGAAAACGGAGCTTGGCCTCTGTTTGGCCTCGCTGCAGCTTGGTTCTCTGTGGTCTCACTCTTCCCTGGTCCCTGCTGGGAGGACTCTGCTGAGGTGGCTCTGGAAGCTCTGCTTTTCTTTTCTAGACGACTTCATTTGGAGAAGTGAAAGAACCCCTGAAATTCGGTTTAGTCCCACTTTTTGCCTTGGGAACATAACACCTTAGGTAGGCAAATGGACAGAAGAAAAAGCTGCGCCTTCCAAAAGTTCCACAACCTCCTCAGCAGCGCCACCAATGGAGACCAAGTGTTCAAATACCAGAGTCAAGGGGACATTGCTCATTCAAACCACCCCACTTTCCACATTCCTTAAAATTGGTCTGTAAGTAGCTCTGCTTTGCACCCCCTCCCACATCAGGGTTTTAAAGGTCCAGCCCTGGGCTGGGGATGTAGTTTAGGGTTAGTGTTCTCTTCCAGCTTGTATAATGCCTTGGATTCCCCAGGAAGCGCCACAAAAGGAAGTCCTCTACTATGTACTGAGAATCAAGTTTTAGGGTCAGAGCCTTCTTCCTCCTCTAGGACCGAGACTGGAGTTCATTTGCTTCTTTAGTTCCTTATATCCCTCCCCCACTCGCTAGAGGCTTGGTCTCCTTGAGCACCTACGTGGCCGGTGGTAGGGAGCTGGAAGAAGCAGGAAAATTCTCGTTGGGCTAAGTGTTGGGAGGGCCACCAGACCTTCTGGCTCTTGATAAGTATTAATGTCAGTTCACTCTGTTTTGGGTGGCTTGCAAGACCTCAGTATCTCTTGATGTTGGTGTCTCTGACTAAGACTATTAGCTTCATCTCTATCAGTCTCTCAGGCTCTCTGAACCGTCAGCCCTGGTCTGGTGGCTAGCTATTGCATTTCTCATCACGAGCCAGACTTTCCCCAATTCAGATTTTTTTTTGTCCCCATTGCAATATCTTTCCTTGGAGCTGAAATGGGTGGGGTTCACGTCACACTCTCAGCCTCTTAACAGTAGCCAGATATCCGGTCGGGATCTCTTTCAGCCTCTCTCATCTCTTAGGCAGGAATCCATCCAGATTTCCCGAGATCTGCTTCACAAGTTCAGGTTTGCTTTCTCCCACCTTATTTTATTTCTTTTTTAAATTATATTTAAATATTATTTTTCTTTCCTTTTTTATTTAAATAACATTTTTTTCATTTATTTTTACCACCAGTTTCCCTTCCCTTCTTTCCTCTTATCCCCTTCCTTTTCCTATCTACCCCTCCCCATCCACTCCTCCTCCATCTCCATTCGTAAAGGGGCAGGCTTCCCATGGGCTTGCACAAAGCATGGCCTGTGAAGTTGAAGCGGGACCAGAGCTCCTACTCTTGAGGCAGGGTCAGGTGTTGCACGCATGAGGAACAGGTTACCAAAAGCCAGCTAAGCACCAGGGAGAGGTCCTGCTCTGTTAGAAGCCTTACTAAGAGACCAAGCTACACAGTTGTCACACATGCAGAGGGCCTAGGCTGGTTCCATGTAGGTTCTCGGACTGTTGGTCCAGCGTCCATGAGCTCCTGGAAGCTCAGGCCAGCTGTCTCTGTGGGTTCCCCCATATGACTCCCTGGCTGGAACAATCCTTCCTCCCTTTTCTTCTACAAGACTCTTACCCTGTGTTTGTCTGTGGATCTCTGCCTCTGCTTCTATCAGATAATGGATAGAGTATCTCTGATGGCAACTAGGGAAGTCACCAATCTGCTTACAGTAGATGGCCAGTTCATGCACCTCCCCATTATTGCTGGGAGTCCTAGTTGGGGCCATCTTTGTGGGTTTCTGGGGGTTTCCTTGGCACCAACTCCGAAATGGACAGCCCTATCAAGGTGTCTCTTTTGTGACTCTCCCCTCCATCCTGCTTCCAACCCACTTCTGTAGGGTTAAGCCCAGCCTTAGGGGGCGTGTTCGCCTCGGGCTAATGTTTACCTATAAATCTGCGGGCTTCTGCTTTCCTGGTCTCCCGCAGGAGCAGTGGTTCTGTAAGTCTATTTCCCCATTAAAGCTGTATATATTTTTACAGTTTATTTCTCCATTAAAGCTGTATATATTTTTACAATCTGTCTGCATTCATTTACGCCGTTACACACCTCCTGCACCCTGCCTGCCCAACCTGCTTCTTCTAGTTCCCATCCCTCCATCTTCCCAACCCCTGCCCCCAGTTTACTCAGGAGATCTTTTCTACTTCCCCTTCCCAGGGAAATCCATGCATCCCTCTTTGGGTTTTCCTTGTTATCTAGCCTCTCTGGGGCTGTGGATTGTAGGTTGGTTGTCCTATACTTTACTCCTAATAACATCTATAAGTGAGTACATATCATGTTTGTCTTTCTAGGTCTGGATTACCTTGCTCAGAATGATTTTTTCTAGTTCCATCCACTTGCCTGCAAATTTCATTAGAGTGTCTTTTATAGCTGAATAGTACTCCATTGTGTAAATGTACCACATTTTCCTTATCCATTCTTTGGTTGAGGGGCATCTAAGTTGTTTCCAGGTTCTGGCTATTACAAATAATGTTGTTATCAACCTAGTTGAGCAAGTATCCTTCTGTTGTGATTGCACATCCTTTGGGTATATGCCTAAAATTGGTATAGCTGTGTCTTGAGGTAGATTGATTCCCAGTTTTCTAAGAAATAGCCATACTGATTTTTAAAGTAGCTGTGCAAGTTTGCAGTCCCACCAGCAGTGGAGGAGTGTTCCCTTACTCTACATTCTCTCTAACATAAGCTGTCATCAGTATTTTTGATATTGGCCATTCTGACAGGTGTAAGATGGAATCTCAGAATCATTTTGATTTGCATTTCCCTAATGACTAAAGATGTTCTTTAAGTGTCTTTTGGCCATGTGAGATTCTCCTGTTGCGAATTCTCTGTTTAGATCTGTACCCCATTTTTTAATCGGATTATTCGATATTTTAATGTTTAGCTTCTTGAGTTCTTTATATATTTTGTAGATCAGCCCTCTGTCAGATGTGGGGGTGGTGAGGATCTTTTCCCATTAGGAGGCCGCCATTTTGTCTTATGACAGTGTCCTTTGCCTTACAGAAACTTCTTAGTTTCAGGAGGTCCCATTTATTAATTGCCAATCTCAGTGTCTGTGCTATTGGTGTTATATTTAGGAGGTGGTCTACTGTGCCAAGGCAGTTGAGATTAACTCCACTTTCTATTCTATCAGGTTCAGTGTGGTTGGATTTGTCTTGAGGCCTTTGACCTATGTGAACTTAAGTTTTGTGTGGGGCAATAGATATGGATTTATTTGTTTTCCTTACATGTTGACATCCAGTTATGCCAGCACCATTTGTTGAAGATGCTTTCTTTTTTCCATTGTATAATTTTGGCTATTTTGTCAAAAATCAAGTATTAATAGGCTGTGAATTTATGTCAGGGTTTTTGATTTGATTCTATTGATCCACATGCCTGTTTTTATGCCAATATCAAGCTTTTTTTTATTACTATAGCTCTATAGTAGAGCTTGAAGTCAGGGATGGTGATGCCTCTAGAAATTACTGTATTGTACAAG